GTTTGGCTCGAATGAAAACAGTACACTAACGAAGAAAAGAAAAAAATAGTTGTCCAGTATTCCGCTGATCCCAGCAATTTCAAAAGGCCGTCGCCCGTTTGACATTGAAACCAAGCGCACGGACGAACAGAAGTATACAATGAATAAGAAGGCAACCAGTCAAACAAAGGCAAAGGCAGTGCTGGCGTGTGCATTACTTAACTGATATGAGCTAGGGTTAAAGCTTGAAGCTTATGGTATTGTTGAAACGGACGCAACGCACCAGGATGCCAGGAGACATATTTTCAGTACGGGTGGTATCGTGTAGGACCTTTTGTTTGTACGGGATTAAAGAGTAAATGATGAAAATATATATATATTTTTTTTTTGATTTCGATGAGTCGCAAGAAAATCTTAATTAAGCTTAATAGCACATGATTTTTTTTTATCGCTGGGGACCAGCTCTCCAAGCCCGGGGGATATGTCAAGACTTAAATATAGGCCAACTTGGGTTTACATCAAATTGGGAAAAATCATGTAAAATATAATTCTAGTAAACCAATTTGATGTAGATTCAAGGGAATCGTTCGCGTATACGTCGACCTGAATATGTTCTTATAATAAACATTATTAATTAAACAATTAAAATCAGGTCGATGTAAGCGTGATGTTTCAGGGCTAGCTCGTACTAAATATCGGTGCTGGAAATATACAAAGGAGATTTTTGAGCACGTACCCGCCGATAATTGGGACGAGCGGAAAAATATAAAATGGTGTGCTGAGGACAGGGGAGTTAGTTAGTCCATCGATGTGAGTCGTATTATACGGTCAGTAATTCGCGTTATCAGTCCGTTAGTAGAAGACAGCGCAGACTGAAGATGTTCCTGTAAGTACTTAGTTAAGTAAACTGTTAAGTCTTGGCACTCCCCAAAATTGTATTATACTGTGAACTTTATATTAAATAAATGAATATTTTATTCAATGGTTGTTTTGATTGAGAGAGAGAACCTGGTATAGCGACCCTAGCAAACAACCCCCAGCTAGGTCGCGACAATATCAAAGCTTTTTTGGATTCTTTGATTTATTTATAACATTTATTATTGATCTATTTATTTATTTGTTTGCCTATTTAAACAAATAAAGTCAATTTATTACTATTATTAAATACTGTAGTTACATATGTAGTTAATTTAGTAGTAATTCTCCAAAAAATGTTTTCTCAAAAACTATGACATGGCGTTTTTTACAAGGGACAAAAAATGTAGTAAATACTAGAGGGACCTTTTACGAAACAAAAATCGGTCGTCGCTCGAATTGGAAAATATTTATACTAAAATTTACGTAGGGGTAGTTTTCACCCGTATTTTTTCTTGATTTTTTGTGAAAGTCAAAAAATGTTAAAGCACTTACAAACAAATATCTTAAAAAGATATTTTAAAAATCTGTTTATTTTTTTAAAATTTGATACCCTCTAGTGGACAAACGGGGCACATTTGTACAAAGGGAAATTGTGTCTAATGAACTTATTTTAATTTCAAATGAGATAATTACAAATTTCTTACAGTGTGTAAAAGCCTCCATAACAACAACAAGTCAAGAGTGTCACCATCATGGATCACTGAGCGATCCCTTCCCAACAATTACAGGAATTAGGTAGGGATGTGTCTTAGCGCCTCTTCTATTCAACAGCTCTATTCAGCTATTCTCCTATTCATGGCAGTGCTCTCCATTATAGTCGACAGTAAACTGCAGGAGAGAGGATTGGGCATTAGATATTGGATTGGGTCTGTTCAACAAAAAAAGACTCAGGGCAAAAACACGTACAAAGTTCATCCCAGAAGTTCAATTCGTCAAGAAACGCTGATAACTGCACTCTAGTTGCAAAAAAGTTACAGCAATTACAAGAATTTGATTTCGGAAAAGGCCAATATAGACTTCGAAATTCAGCACAGGATTAGCAACAACTTGCATCAACAAGCATTATCAACAAGCATTGCAACTTGCGACCGAGCAATAATAATCCTAACCTAACCTAACCACCATTTTATATGGAACCGAAACCTGTGTGCCGTATCGCCGACACATGAACGCGTTAAACAAGTTGCACACCGCAACAGTTGTACAACTCTTAAAAGTCAAATGGTTCCATCATATCTCAAACGTATCGATCCTTGAAAAAGCTAATTGCGGGAGTATTGAAGTCATGGTAACAAAATCCCGCTTATTATGGGCTCGTCACGTATGCAGAATGCAAGAAAACCGCATACCAAAATCTCTGCTTTACGGTGTGCCTGTAGACGGTAAGAGAAAGCCAGGTGGACAACTCAAAAGGTACAAAGATATTTTCCACGAAAACTGAAAGGGAATAAGCATGTAGAGTCAGTGGAAGGAAGCAGCGCACAATAGAACGCAATGGAGAACAATGGTAAACTCAGTTAACAACGAAAATCAAAAAGTAAAGAGACAACAAAGTAATGAGATTTTTGAATGTCCGGGCTTTTCAGTCACAGAAAAGTTCATGAAAGAAAACAACTTGCGTAACCATCTTCTGATGCGTGTCGAATACTCGTCAGCGATTAATGGCAGTAACTAAGTAAGTAACTACTTAAGAACTCGTACGAATATCTTAACACATTAAATACAATAAATGTTCACTTTTTAATTCTGCATCTAAGAGACAAATACTATACAAGGTATTTGATCTGAAATAAATTGAGAAATAACATCTTAAATATTGCGCGATATTGGCCACGCCATAATAAAATACCCTGTATAAGATATGTGGTGCGGAAAATAATTGAAGAGTATGCTAAATGGGGTCTCACAGTAAATACAGAAAAAACAAAATACTTTGCAATTGGAGCTAATACAGAAAATCTTATTTTAGACAATAATATGGAAATTAGGGCATGTGAAGATTACAGGTACCTGGGATCGATATTTACAGGAGATGGAACGGACGATAGAGAAATAAACAACAGAGTAATACAGGCACGAAGAGTTATCAGATGCACAAATGGCATTCTATGGAGCACTGAAATTACAAAAAACAGGAAATATAATATATACGAGACACTAGCATAAAGCATATTACTCTATGGATGTGAAACATGGCGACTCACTGAAAGGAATAAAAGGAAATTAGAGACAACAGAAATGGACGCGATTAGAAGAGCAATGAGAATTTCACGGAGGGATAAGATCAGAAATGAAGACATTAGACAACAGATGGGAATAGAGGGAACAATAGTAAATAATATAGAACAAAAACAATTAATATGGTACGGCCACGTTCAGAGAATGCACAATGAAAGAATTCCAAAACAAGTCATTCATTGGATACCACCTGGTAAACGAAAGAGAGGACGTCCCAAGAAAACATGGATGGAAGGAATAAGAAGGTCGATGAGCGAGAAATATCTGACCGAAGATCGATGGGAAAATCGCACAGGGTGGAAGTTGGGCATCGGACAACGTCGTAGGACGTTCTGACTATATATATATATATATATATATATATATATATATATATATATATATATATATATATATATATATATATATATATATATATATAAATATATTTTTCCATAGCAAGTTACGTTTTAAAAAAATATTCAGAAATTATTATTTGAAGGAATTTATTACGAGTAGAAAAAATAAATTGTGCTGGGTTGGCGTTGGTTTCTATGTATATATATATATATATATATATATATATATATATATATATATATATATATATATATATATATATATATATATATATATATATATATATATATATATATATATATATATATATAAATAGAATTGATTGGGCAAGTCCACAGAAAGATTAGTCATGATACATGACTAAAACATGACTACCCGTAGACACTCAGTGTTTCTGCCTTCCGGCTTCATCAATACGGGAGGAATCAGCAACGATGAACTAGCGATCCTGAAAAAAGAAAGAAAAGAGAAGCAAACGAGGCACAAAGGCGCCATTTGCAGCTGGTCCGGCAGTAGCTTACAATTTGAAGCGTTACTACCGAAACCGCCGCAAGTCCACAGAAAGATTAGTCATGATACATGACTAAAACATGACTACCCGTAGACACTCAGTGTTTCTGCCTTCCGGCTTCATCAATACGGGAGGAATCAGCAACGATGAACTAGCGATCCTGAAAAAAGAGAAAGAAAAGGCAGAAACACTGAGTGTCTACGGGTAGTCATGTTTTAGTCATGTATCATGACTAATCTTTCTGTGGACTTGCCCAATAAATTCTTTCTTCGTTTTTTTATAGTTTCCACGATAACTTCCTTGTTTATTGTTTTCTCTGGGCCAGGGTGATAGCGGCGAGGTGTGTTGGAACGCCTCCGCGGCGGTTTCGGTAGTAACGCTTCAAATTGTAAGCTACTGCCGGACCAGCTGCAAATGGCGCCTTTGTGCCTCGTTTGCTTCTCCTTTTCTTTCTCTTTTTTCAGGATCGCTAGTTCATCGTTGCTGATTCCTCCCGTATTGATGAAGCCGGAAGGCAGAAACACTGAGTGTCTACGGGTAGTCATGTTTTAGTCATGTATCATGACTAATCTTTCTGTGGACTTGCCCAATAAATTTCTTTCTTCGTTTTTTTATAGTTTCCACGATAACTCCCTTTGTTTTATATATATATATATATATATATATATATATATATATATATATATATATATATATATATATAAGATATGTCAGTTTTCACAAAATAGAAATTAAAATAATATACATAAGTTAAATTCACTCCAATTATTAACCAATTTTCTACTAATTGTACTCCCCATAACATTTTATAACTTATCCATCTCAAAGTCATCATTAACATTTTTCTCTACAGTGAATGTCGTCGACCTTTCCAAAACCGATATAAAATAAAATAAAAACCTTCCACTCCATCGAGATATCTCTGCAGGTTTTCCGCAAAACCCTTAACGTCTCATTTCGGCGCGCCTTAAAAGAAGATTATCCCTTGGCCGATAACAAATTGTCGTGCACTCACCTCCCTCGACCTGGCACGATAGGAACAGTTCGCGCCCTTCCAGAAAAGGTCCGGCGGAGGCGGACGGCTTCACCTCCCGTCCTTCGGCGTCGAAAATCCGTGGAGTGGACGGTTGATCTGAAACAAAAAAGATACAAAATATTTTAAGTCATACGAGATATTTAGAGTATACACACAACCAAACTTATATGGAATCACTCTTTATTCCTGACTAGATTTCTTGCAAGGATAAAAATTGGTATACAACTTTAAGGTTTTTTGTTTTAAATAAACATGATAATTAAGAATAAACGACTGCCGCGATTTTTTTTGGAATTTTGTGTTCAGTAGTAAAATCACGATTGTCCGGTAATTTTCATTCGATCCAAAAAAATAAAAAGTGCCTTATGTTGAATTAACAGATGTATAGAGAGGAAGAATTAATGCTCTTACCCAACAAGGAATGCTCCAAAGAGACGTAGCAGAGATAGTAGGCGTTACCCAGGGTGTTTGGTTTGGTTATTTATTTACCAATCGCAACTGAATAAGAAGATCTCCTTGTGTGCCAAATTGCTAGAATAAATCCCAATGTTTCTCATCAAGAGCTACAAAGACAACTTCTGGCAGCTACAGGTAGTGTGAACATTTCAGTTGAAACCATAAAGCTGCGTATAAATATGTCGAGACGAGTGCGAGAGACACCCGAGACGAGTCAACATCAAGCGGATTTGAGGTTGACTCGTCATATAGGGACGGGGTCTGAGCTTCGAGCCGAGCCTATGCCCAGCCGGACGGCGTTGTCTACGTTTTTTCCGGAGCCTTTGGCGAACCATCAAAAGGATTGGGGCGTCTATTTAACCAGTGGCGTATACACCGCGGCTCCGCGGAACAATTGCCTCGAGTCTCAAGGGGCTCGGATTCCACATCCCATTTTTATATAAAAATAAATATTCTTTCCTTTATTTGTAATAATGTTAATAATGCATCCTAACTAGAAAGGTGCAATTTTGTCTTCTCTAAAATAGTATAGGTAAGTTAGCCAAAGTAGGTAAATCTCATATACAAAGATTTATTAGTGATTTCTTTTATAAAAACATGAAAATTTTATGAAAAATGAATAAACGTAATGAACTTTTCATCGAGTTATTAACGGCTCAAACGTAAATTATGCGCTATTTCTGCTGAACGGAATTAAAGATGTAAAACAAGCTTCTTTACATATAGGATACATAGAAGATAAGAGAGGCAATCGAGTGTGTTGAAAAAGGTGGCCATGCTCTCAGAAGTTCCTTACGGTACTTTCATAAATAAAGGGAATCGACAAAGAAAGGAACGATTCGATATAGAAAAATTCAGAAATTTGAACTATCCAGACTACTAAGAAACTTAATTTAAGGCAAATATGAAAATAATAAAGTTCCCGCCATAGAAATAATTAAAAAATACTCTCCGAGCTTTAAAAAAACCCTGTTCAGAAAGCACATTACGGCGAAGGTTTAAAAAACTGGGAATTAGATTTAAAATTATATACATAATAATATTTTAAAAATTATTAATAAGCGTGCTGCAATGATGGAAAGCCATAGAATAATAATGTAGCGAATTGAATACCTTGAAAAAATATACAACTTTAGAAATGAAGAAATGCAGATATATTATTTACAATATATGTTAGTTATTGGCATTTAAATGTAGATTTAAATTAATAATTTAAATCTTAATTACTTAAATTTCTAATTTTTTAAATAAATAAAGTCGAATTAGGTCTTATCTTACAGCGCTTTCAAATGGAACGGAGCGTCCGCGACTTCGAGCAAGTACCATGAGCTTATATGAACAATTTCACCTGGTCGCGTATGCTCCGTCCAGATGAGCTATCCTGAAAAACATCCGTGCGGACGCTCTGCGCGTACGGTCCGCTCCATCTGAAAGCGCTGTTACTCTATTTAAAAATTTTATAGATATACAAACCACATACAAAATATATTATTGAATAAAATAATTAAAGACTCAAAAAAAAACGGCACTGGCAGAAGGCTCCGCCGCCGCCGCTGCCGTGCCGTTATCTCCAGGTATCTCAGTCGGCGTTCTCCAGTTTTTTTTTAATGTAAACAGTCCGAATATAATTTAAATTTATCATGAATTCCTTTAATTTATCTAGCTTGTTTTTTTACCTATTTTGAAATTAAACAAACATATACAGGGTGTTTCAAAAAACATGTTCCATCTCTCGTGGGGAAGTTCCTCACGTAAAAATAAGATTTATTTTTTATATCAACCAATCCAATTCTGCTTTGATTCGTAGCTACAGGGGGTTAAAATAGGGTTCCCAACCGTCCTCTATTCCAGAAACAGTCCTCTTTTTGATCTGATTGTCCTCTTTTCTCTCACGTATTGAAAACTTTGTTACATACTAACTTCAAAATCTAAAAAATATTCGTTTATCGCCACAATGCTTTAAAGAATTGTTAATCTGTGTCTTTTATGTAATTTTATGTTTACTTACTGTTAGTTTATGTCTTGAAAAAAAGTTTGTTGACAATGGTTTGCTTTATTTTAATAAGTTTTGAGTATAAATATTTTTGTGTATTTTAAATATTTATCGCATACCGTTTATATAACTTTTTGGTAAATTCTCGACATTTGAGCGACGTTTCAAAAATGTTTCGCCTGTGCCTTTTTTTATCCTCTCGCCCCTATTTTTTATTTTCAAAGTTGCCAACCCTAGGTTAAGTGTTTTATCATTTTCTTCCAAGTGCTTTTAGTAATTTGAGATCGTTTGATGACTGATTTAGTTCTGATCCGGGTAGTTTTTTGTATAAAACAGTGCCACCATCGTCGATTTTTTTCGTTAAATGCGAATAAGAAAATATCCTGATTATATTCTGGCCCTATCCCTTATTATTTTTATTTACAAGCGATCTTAAGTTTATAACATATACATATATTTTATTTAATTGTTAACATTAGGGTAGTTTTACCAATTGTGTATGTGTGGAATTCCACTGATATGTGTTTTAAGTTGTTTGTTAAATTTTTAAAATTTTTTGATTGTATTTTGCTCTCTTAACTTTGTAGTGTCCTGAAGATGCAAATAAATTTTGCGAAACGTCGACAAATTTAAAACAAAGGACTTCTGTTGATTTTTTTCGATCCTAATCCAATTAAAAAACACAGTATACTTAAATTTATTAATTAATTTTTTAAATATTGAATGGTATCGAATAATACTTTAATATATTTATCAATATTTTAAAGTATCGATACTTTATATTCAATACAACCGATACCAAAATATCGATACTGCCTCAGTATCGCACAGCCCTATGAAGAATTTTGTGGGTTCGCCAAAGGCTCCACTGAAAATGGATAGCCGCGAGACAACGCCGTTCGACTGGGCAGGGACTCTGCTTGAGGCTAAATCGCTCGGCTCGAGGCTATAATATGGACGAATTCTGCTTGAGGTTGACTCGTCTCGTCCTCGTCTCGGCATATTAGTACGACTTTTGGAAAGAATTTGCTATAGCCTCGTTTCATACTCGTTTCGGGGTTTTCTCGTACTTGCCTCGGCATATTTATGCGCGGCTTAAGAAAAAGGCTGTGTGCTCGAAGGTTTTACAGTAGGAGAGAGTTACGGTTCCCACAGTTATCTAGGCAAAATAAAATTGACCGGCTAAATTGATGCCTTCGACATCAAAACTGGACAACTGAGAATTGATAAAATGTTTTTTTTTGCGGATGAGACCAGAATTGGCCTAAGATCATATAACCATCGAATTCGGGTTCTCAGAGCTCCAGGAAGACGTATCGCTCGTCTTCCTGGAGGCTGCCAAATCTGTACCAAGATATAAAAGATGTAGAACTGTAATGTTCTGGGGAGGTATTATACTGGGAGCAAAAACTCCATTTTGTACGGGTCGGAGATATGGTGATTTGGTGCTGGAACTAATCGTTAGTCTTTGGAGAGCTGCAACTGGGGATAAATTTAACTTCTTGTACGCTAGTGCACATCCCCATACTAGCAGAGTGACTAGAGAATGTCTTGAAACGGAAGGTGTTATAGTTTTGGACTAGCCTGCATGTTTACCAGATCTAAACCCTATCGAACCCTTGTGGGACTAGCTCAAACGAACGGTTAGAGCTCATCGAAACAATCCAGGAAATCTTGCACAGCTTATTGATACATCATTAGCAGAATGGGAAAACATACCCCAAGACAACATTGATAATTTAATAAGAACCATGCCAGCGCGGATAGAAGTTTGCATAAGGGCTAGAGGTGGCAACAAGGAATATTAAAATTATTAATTTTCTTTTTGTTGTTGCTTTTTGGCTATTAAAAATTTAAATTTTAATTTCGTTTTAGAGAACAAAAAAATACAATTTTGTTTATTTTGGGAACTGGTTATTTTTTTATTGCTATATGGATTATTTTTCATTAAAAGTCATTGGTAAAGACTGAGTTTTATTTGTTAAAAAACATAAAATTTTCATACGTCTCAAAAATTATGAAAAATAATAGATGATTCCATATAAGTTTGGTTGTGTGTATTTTTGCATTAAAGTCATAGTAGTACTAAACCTAGCCCTATAATTACTCTTACACAATAACGTAAATTTAATATTGAGCCAAGAATCGACATGGCCAGTAGAAGCTTCTACGGAGCGATCAACAATGGTTGAAACAGGCGGCTATTCTTATTTGGTCGTTTGGTTGGCAATACATTTAAGGAACTCTAGTATGACACACGACCTTGAATGACGGCTGTGAGGCGACCGTGACGCGCGAGAGAAAAAGTGATAGCGGCAGTATTGCCACAGCTACCCTATTTTGGGTAGATTGTTTGGTTGTTGGGGTTCTGTTTATCTCTTACCTATTAATGTCAAATTGACTTGGAAATTCCTCGTTGGCGAGTTAACAAAATCAACCCTGCACCTAAACACTCCCTCATCAGCAGCATTGACACTTTGGATCCTAAGCCTGGCTTTTGATGGCTCTTCATCAGCAATGAAGTACGACCTTCGCCCAATGTCATCGCTGATGGCCAGATGAGAAGCTTTAGAAAGGGGCCCACCACGAGCGTCCAGGCTAAAAAGAAAAATGTCTGATTTAGTGTATGTTAATTTTCCATTAACTTCTACCATATTTATTTATATTACGATGTATACTAAGGCCTGGCAAATGTGAGTTTTAGGTCAAGATTTCCGTATGGAAAAAGAGCACAAGGCGTTTATAATGTACTGAACAAAGAGAAAACAGTAAAAACGTTGCCAAATGTATTAAATAAACCGAGAAACTGAGCACATTGCTGAAAGACGTGGAAGGGGATATAGCAGATTCGTCGCGGTCGATCGGTCCACCCAATCAGTACATGAAATTCTAGAAAAGGGTGTACACTATTAATACACTAATTTGGGTTCTCTTTAATTTTAAATTTAATTACTTCTCGTCATACTTTATTTGTTTTTTTATTACTTTGGAGTCGTTGTAATTTTCCCTGTAGCTTGTAAATTTTTATGCACTTGCACTTTTGGTAAAAATAAGTGGAATTGAGTGGGTCTTCGACAGTGGTCGTGCTATTAGAACTCTGAATTCAAAAATCGATATTTCGAAATCCATTAGTAATAATTGACTGTAGATTTTTGCAAAAACTTTCTTAATATATCTGCTATATTTTCTTCGCAGACAGTATGTGGAAATCTTAATAAATTAAAAAGTTACACGATTCCTATGCACTAAAATAAATGGTTGTTTTTTTAATTTTTGAATGAAAAAAAACAAGCTTATCGAGTTTTTTAGTTAAAAATCTTGTAAACGATCCGAACTTCAAAATAAAAAAAGGTTTCAAAATCTAAAGTTATACTTGAGTTATCGTGTCTTATATCTTAAAAAGTTCAGTTTTTAAATTATCGCAATTACTAACGTTTTCTCGTTATAAAAAATGGATACCCTAACCATATCTTTATAATTCCATTTCAGATGCCCAGAAACATATCTAATGAATTATCTAGTTATCTTTTTGAAAAAAAGTCTTGCTCTAGTCTTGAATCATGATTTTACTTTACTTGATAGGAAAAGACGTACCGGAGAAATGTGGCAACGCCGCAACAGCACACCTTCGTATTTCTCTCACTCCCACTTAATAAGATTCCTATGCGATTTACTTCCAGACATGTAAATATCGACCCAAAAATAAGAGTTGCTCGCATGGTAGAATTTCATCTTAAATAATCATTATAAATAGAATTTTAAACCCCTACTCATAAGCGAGAAATCCTGTAAATCACAAGAAAATGGGACACTCTGTACGCTCCAAAAAAGAGTAACTAAACTTATACAGGGTGATCCAAACTGTATTCCGGAAACTTCGGCAGCGTATTTTCCAGATTAAAATTAGTAAAAATGTTCGTACAAATGTATGTCCTAAAATGCTTAGTTTCGGAGATAGAGGGTGTAGAAGTTTCATTTTTATTTCGATATTTGCCAAATAATTTCTGAAATAATGTCAATATTTAGATGAAAATTGGTATCAGGGAGTTTTTTGACATGAGAAATTTGATTTTGATGACAATATGAATCCTACTTGTAGATGGCGCCACCTGAATATTTTTAACTAGTTTGAAAACTAATACCTTTTCGTCCATATGTGTATAAAACTATTGAGTAAAAAAATATACATTTACGACGTTTTTTACGTAAGAAAGGTCTCTTGGTAAAAATCGCTACGACTGATGATTCTCGAGATAATTGGAATCTAAATTATAAATACCTGTCATCATTGACATAAATTAAACATGTTGACTAAATAGTTATTGGACTGAAATCATAAATTTTAAATGTTTTTGTGCCAAAAGTTCAATAAAAACTGTTTTGAAGAAGAACTTATGATTAATTTAAATCATTTCAATCAACTATCTACTCAACACGTTTACAACACTCAACACTATCTACTCAACATGTTTATTTTTTGTCAATAATGACATGTATTAACTATTTTCGTTCTAAATATTTTGAAAATGGTTGCCCGTAGCGATTTTTACCCTTTTTACTTAAAAAAAACATCGTAAATGTATATTTTTTTACTCAGTAGTTTTATACAGGTACGGACGAAAAGTTATTCCTCTTCAAACCTGTTAAAAATTTTGTAGGTGGCGCCCTCTACATATAGGAGTCATATTGCAATCAAAATCAAATTTCTCATATCAAAAAACTCCTAGATACCAATTTTCATCCAAATATTGACGTTACTTCAAATTTTTTTTTGGAAAAAAATGAAATAAAAATGAAACTTCTACACCCTGTATCTCCGAAACTAAACAGTTTAGGACATACATTTATACGAACTTTTTTACTTATGTTTATCTGCAGAATATGCTGCCAAAATTTCAGGAATTTCAGTTCGCACCACCTTGTATATTGAAATATTTATAGCTTCGTTTTCTCATTTATTTCGGGCCTCGTGATTTGCCTGCTAACCTAAAAATATCACTGGCCCTTGCCCTTTTGTCCCAAAAGCACTAAAACACGATTCGAATTAGTTTTAAATTTTAATTGGTGCGCAATTATCGGCAGATATTTTTCGGGCACAATTCGAGCGAATAATGCACGTGACAGGGTCGGACTGTAAACAGCCGGTCCCTAAGCTTTAATTGGATTATAAAAATAATTTTTTGAAACAGTCACCGGCTGCAGGTGCTCCCTGACGATCCCCACCCTGTTGTTACTCATATTATACGAACAAGCTTCGGTACATTTATTGCCAATTATATCAGAGAAATATGGGTAACGCAGCTTTGTGGATACAGTTACAGCTGTATCTCCCCTTGGTCTAAATTAAATAGTATTTATATATTACCATGTCAAATCACTGTTATCACACGAGGAAAATACGTTCTAGAATGATATTTACAGTTGATTTGAAGGATCCAATTTTGATTTGAATAGTTTAATACTGTATCAATCCTTTCACAATATGTTATTGTACAAATAGTAATAAAGTCATATTTTACAGTTTAACTCAATGTTTCCAACTCATTTACATAACGCTGGTCGACATGAGATACAACAAATTTTTATTTAAACATAGCGATTTATAATTTTAAATTTTTATCTTTAATAATGACTTTTATATCATTTCTTCTAAAATACAAAATACTCACCCCCTTTCAGTTTGGGTTCTTGAGTAACAAATGTACAAATGACGCTATGTTTTCGTTGTTTAATAATGTATACTCCAGTCTGAACAACCGTCTCGTTACAGCAACAATTTTCTGTGATTTCTCGAAAGCTTTCGAATGTGTTAATCATAACATCCTAACTAACAAATTGCAGTACTATGGTATCAGGGGAACGCCTCTTGAATGGTTTAAGTCCTACCTTAACAACAGAAACCAGCGTGTGAGGGTTGATAAGACTGTGTCTTCTTGCAAGCCAATAGAATGCGGAGTACCTCAGGGCTCAGTGCTAGGTCCTATTTTGTTTCTGTTGTTTATCAAGATATTGCTAGTCTGGACATCAGTGGTAAAATCTGTCTCTTCGCGGATGATACTTGTTTCACATGGAGCAGCCCGGACACCACGGCACTTCATAGAACCATTTCCAGTGACTTAATCAACATAAAAACATGGTGCGATTCTAATTATCTGTGTCTCAACGTCTCTAAAACTAAAGTCTTATCATATAAAAGTACGTTGCTACCTTTTCAACTTGATAATACCACCATTGACGTCGTTGATTCTGTGAAATTTTTAGGCCTTGTTGTGGACAACTATTTAAAATGGGATTTGCAATCGATGCTTTAGCTAAAAAATTAAGTTCTGCCTGTTTCGCACTTAGATCAGTTGCTAATGTGCTTAATTTGTCAACATCTAGGACAGTCTATTATGCCCTTTATGAGTCGCATCTCCGATACGCACTTCCATTCTGGGGTGCGTGTTGTGCGACTCAATTTGAGCGTATCTTCAAATTACAAAAGAGAGCTGTGCGATATTCACTGAGGCTAACCAGTTGTGCTCACTGCCGGGACTTGTTTAGAAGATATAAAATATTAACTCTTCCTTCCCTATTCATACTCGAATCCGTCTGCCTAGTTCGCAAGCACGTATCGAGTATTTCTCTAGAGCCAGTTCATGGCTATCCAATTAGGAACGCAGAGCATAACATGTATCTGCCAACCCCTCACTCTGAGTTAGTAAAGAGTTCCCAATTGTACAATGCAAAAAAAAATGCACTATCATCTGCCATCTGAAATTAATTCCATTTCATCCTTTCCTGCATTTCGCAGAGCCTTGAGATCATACTTACTGGAGAAAGCCTTTTACGCGGTTAACGATTTTTTTATTAATATCTAGGGTTCTAAATTTAACACACATTCACTAAATTTAAGAAATGATTTTGTTTTCTATCCATTTAAATTTAGTATTGACATTATATACAGTTGTTTATTTACATGTATGTTTATATTTTATTTATATTTAATTAAATAAATTTTTGACAATGTACAATTTCTATAATTGTATAAAGTATTGTTTTAGTTTTGTATGTTTGCTGTTAGTTTTATATGTTTTTTTATTGTTAAGTGAAGTTTTGTATGTTTTTTATATTCTTTTTTTTAAGCTTTGTCAACAAAATTGTTTAATTTTTTATGACAATAAAGCAATTTCTTTCTTTCTTTCTATAAAACTAACGAAACGTTGTATACGATAAAAGCGTTTAATGACGAGGAAAATCTAGGCACTATATGATTCTTATTTGTCATCTTCATAAGTGTTTTATAATGTAGCGCAGTTCAACGTAACAAAATATTTATTATACAACATTATACAATTCTTTTAAGACAAGATTAAGTAACTATTTTATAACAATGTAACTTCTAATTCCATAGAACTCTTATACCATACGTATACAAATTCAATAACATAGTGTATTTTGTTATTGTATAAACTTCCTTATAAAGTGTTTGTGTATATTAGTGTATAGTTTTAAAAGAAGTTATTGTACTGTGCGGTATAAAATATTTTAAGCTGCTTCTGAAGCATGCTACTGGAAAATATTAAATAACTCAAGATACTTAAATCTGCATTATGATT